CTTCATTCCCATAAAAAGTTCACGGGAATGCCAAGGTATGTGGTTATCCCGACCCGAATGATTATGTTTTGCTACTCTCTAGTTTATATTAATAGAAGCTAGAGAGTGGGGGCAAGTTGTTGGGAAGAATTTAGTCACTTGGGCTTTGGCCCAGTATGATTAAATTCTGGAAACATCTAAGGCGGTCTGCGAAATACGCATCAAGGACTGGCCGCATAAATCGCAAAAACGTTCAGCGAAAAAGAAATATTCTTAATGCAAAAAGAGATATAAGGATAAGGATGATAATTCCTACACGAAGGAGGAATAGGACAACCTAAACGCAAACCCTATAAATAACGGGGAGGAAGAACCCAATGGGAACATTGAAAGAGTTTACAACGGAGAGAAGTTCCAGCAATTCAAAGCGAGAAACCTAGCAGCAGCGACCAACGTCCTAAACCCTAGACCTCAAAGATCTTGACCATTCGTTCTCTTGCTGTTGTAAATGAATCATACTAGTAAATGATCCTCGATTGCTTGGTCTGCTTTCTCTTTGCGCATTCCGTAGGCTTGTTAAACGAATCACATATTTTACCCCGAACAATGATGTAATCTTAAATCTATTTTTTTATTTTAATATAAATTTTTTAATCAACATATCTTCAGTTAAGTCTTCAGAATATATTTATTTTATATAATTGAGTTTGTAAATAATCTTTAAATCTTGTGTTAATTGTTAGAGGTGGGTTTAACACCTCCGCTTTAGCCCACTTGAATCAAGATCAGCCTATTATAAAAAGCACATGGAGCCCAATAAAAATACTTTTATAAATAGAGAAACACCAGAAAGAGAAATGGAAAAGCAAAATAAAAGACCAGATAAACCTCAAAGACAACAGGTCATCATCCTGATGCCAGGACGATAGTGTAGATAAGAACCAGCCAGTGAAAGTGTTTACCTACACTGATGTTATGGTTTTGTGTTCGTATTTGTAATAAAGATAAAACCCTATAAGATAAAGTAACAAAAGCTAAGAAAGAATCGTTTACCTATGTTCATGGTTTTCCATTCATGCATGTGAAAAAAAAAAGATAAAAATCCACAAAAAAAAAAAGAAGAGATAAAGACTATTTAATGGATTATTTTACATATGATGTAATATCATGTAGGAGAAAATGGCAATGGCTCTCAAAACATATTGCTGTATGATCAAAAACATTTTGACATATTGAAGTCTTCATGAACATGTAATTAATTGATATTTTACATCATTAGTTATTTTCTTCTGTATTATTTATTTATTTTTGTTTAATATACTTGATAAGAAAGTTAAAACCTTCATGTACACGTAAGTTTAGATAAGAACCCACCAGGAAAAGAGACAAAAATTACCAAAATGTTTGTTTACATACGCTCTACTACCATGGTTGCGTGTTTGCACTTGCGAGAAAGATGAAAACATACAAGATGTACTAACAAAATATAAGAAAGATATTGTTTATCTAAATTTTGATACTATGGTTTTGTATCTGTGAATACAAAAAATATAAGAACCGACAAGATAACTTTAATGTAAAGAGAGAATTCTGACGAGGGAGATATTAAAAAATAGTGTTAGAAACATTTCGCTGTTTTCCAATTATATGTCATATATTGCTTTTAATTTATGTCTGGTTTATTATTAGAAACAAATTTAATAATCTAATTAATATGATTATTTGATAAAATAACTTCGCCAGCTCAAGGTGTGGACTAAGGACTTAGTATATTACTAAATCAATCAACTTGTCGAAGAGATTAAACAACAGAAAAAAAAAGTTATTACTTGGTTAACCAACCTAAAGGATTTTTTTGAATAGAAAAAGAAGATGCACGCTGCCGTTGGTCAAAACTAACGAAAAAGAAGATAAATCCAAGTCTGCATTAGAAAACAAAACAAAATTAAAAAAAAAAAAGATGAAGAAAAATAAAATAAAAAATAGAAGTCGAAGATGATGAAAAGGAAAATTAAAAAAAAAGATCAAGATCAAAAACAAGAAGAAGAAGAACACGAAGTTGATAAAGAAGAATGTTGGAAAATATGAAGATAAAAACGTTAAAGATAAAGAATGAGAACAAAAGATGAAGATAATATATTATGAGAATACGAAAATAGAGAATGAAAAAAAATAATTAAAAAAAAGACAAATATAATGAATTACCGCTCAATGATTCATAATAATACATATTTTAAAATGAAATTGTGCGCAATGCGGGGAGCAGAAATCTAGTAGTACAAAAAAAAACTACTTATTAACGGGGTATCATGCTAGGGAAAATTGAAACAAAAAATAGTACATATTTTTCAAAATACCAGCACTTCCTTTATATTTTTGCAAACGTAAGGTAGACTAAAGGCAGAGACGCAGAGTATGATTATTTTATTAAATCTGCGATAATTTTTTAAGAGATCGACTCAGATAAAGACCATAGTGCAATAGAGCTCAAATTTTCACATGACATAAAACTTTGAGTTAGCTTTCCAATGAAAGTAGTTTCAAGTAATTTGGAGCTATATTTCCAAGAGGCGTCGTCGATTTAGTGAACATGTCTAGAAAAGTATTGTTTTATAGGGTCAATTAAGTGAATAACTAACTCAATAAAATATTAAGAATATAGCCATGGATATACTAAAATTAAGAAAGTAACAATTGACCAATTTTTTTGACAATTATATCCTCTTTGACACACATATAGACAGTCTATCTATTGTACAAATTGTTATCTTATAGATTTTATTGTTTCTGTTATTAACATCCTATTAGTTAATTCAATGTTGTATAATTATATAAAAAATACTGATTTATTTTCACGTCTAACATGATTTGAATTATTGAAAACTAACATTTTTTTTTATACGTGAATAGTATCACCAATAATATAACAAGTCTATTTTTATCAATAACAAGTCTATTTTGAATTCATATACACTACTATTAAAGTCTAACATGACTTTAATTTCGAAAAACAAACCCATTTTTTTCTTTTTCATATGTCAATAATGACACTAGTAACATAGAAATTCTATATTTAATTAATAATATAACAAGTCTATTTATACAAAAATATTAGGGAGTCAAAATATTTTTTAACTGGTTTTGGGAAGTTAAAATATTTTATCGAGAAACTATTGACAAAATCAGTTAATCTACTTATCTGTATTTTATATTAATCTTTTTTTCTATATTATCATCTTCAGTGGTACAAAAGAGAGAAAATTATGTTGCAGGTAGAACATGCCTAAGTTAATATAGACAATTTATGTGTTTTATATATAGGCCGGCTTTTTTGAATACATTATATATTAATATTTGAATTGAATATTATAAATATTTACATTGATCAAAATACAAAAAATATAAAATAGTATGGATTTGATAAGTATAATAGACGGGGAGAGTAAAATAAAAAAAACAGAAAATTTAATAGATTACACCAATATTAAACGAGTTGGGGATTATCTGAGGAGACAAAGGAGGTAATATTGTGGGAGGAGAGAAGGAGAATCAAGGAGGAAAAACATATAATCTGGTGGAAATTGAAATTTTTGTTATGATTTTTCGGTGAAGTTGTTGATAATGACGGTAGTGTGAGTGCAGAGAAAAATGTTGAGCACTGTGTGAGAGAACGAAGGAAAGAGAGGGGAAAGAGCATTGTGTGAGAGAACGAAGGAAAGAGAGAGAGGAGGAAGGAAAGAGAGAGGAGGAAAGAAAGAGAAAGAAAGAGGAAAAAATGAAAAGGGTATAAAGGTATTAATACATAATATATAGAGAATATCATGTTCAGATTTTTGTTTTTGGTTAGTTGGTGAATTATTGTTTGTTTGATGGTTATTAAATGCAATTTCTTTGTTTTATATGTAGTTTGTCTGTGAACCTCAAACTAGTAAAAATGAAGGCAAAATTATGTTTATTATTTGTTTAGACGTTATAATTCTAAAATTTTATTATACTTTAACGTTTAAAAGCTTAGTTACCTTAAAAAAATGATAAGAAATAAAAACCAAGAACCATGATTTAAAACGGATAATATCAAGAAACTACATGGCATATTTTCGAGAGAACAATGAAATAAATATTATATAACTTAATTCTTTCTCTTTTTTTTTGTTGCAACTTAATTGTATTAAATTTGTTCTAAAACTCTAAGAAATAAGAAAAACACATATCTAAAAGAAGTGCCAGTAGACAAATAATAACAAATATGAAAACACATTTTCCCAAAAATATAACACTAGTTTGTGTTTATGTTTATGTAGATAATGATTATTATTTTCCAAAAAATATAACACTAATTAAAAATATTTTAACAACACAATAAAATAATGATTATTATTTATTTTATATAAATCAAATTGACTCTATATAAATTTGAGACGATAATAGGTTAATTGAGATTTTTTTTAAATACTGTTTACGGACTCTAAAACTCTGTGCACAGCTCTGATTATATTGCTCACAATGACAGTTTCCTCGTTCATATAATCCGGTCATTTTGATGAATGTATTCGCCATAAAACAACAAAATTTTGGCACAGCCATTTTAATAAACATAAGTTTTATAAATTTGAATTTTCCATATGGATTTATAGACTATTTAAAATTCGCCAGAAAATTAGAATTAATTATTTAGCAAAATCTGCCAAATCCACCGTTAGCATATATACACTTTACTTCACACTTTTCAATTATTCAAATCAATATGAGTCATGGTTTTGTCATACATGAAATCCAGACGTACTTTAAGAATAATTAAACGATCACGAACCAAGAAAAAATTAAACGATTACGTTCCAATCACTGGCAGATTTTTCATAATACGTAATAACTATATTCATCAGTAACAATTAAGATAGTATTTCGAATCAATCCATTTAAAAATCACATTCTAATAAATCATTTCCATTCATCCGCAGTGACAGCTCATTATAATATATACATTCCACACACTCACACACAAATTGTGCTTCTCACCATCTAAACTAACACAGTGGTCTACTCCTTCACCACATTTCTCTTTCTCTCCCTTTTACAGGAAAGCCATGAAAGGACAGAACCATACCTCAACATCTTCTTGTAATATCCATCCAGTAGAGTTTATTGAAGGTGTGTGTCCTCTCTGTCTCAATGAGAAACTTCTAGTCTTGGCTTCTCTACAGAGAAGACAACCTCCATCTTCTTCTCCTTCTTACCATAACATCCAAGAATCTTCTAAAAAGAAAAACATCAGACTCTTCTCCTTCCTTGGCTTCTTCGAACTGCGACACCATAAGTCTTATCACCAAACCACCTCCACCATCAGCCCAGAAGGTACCAGATATACTAAATCCTTATAATTTATTATTCCACTTTATACAAGGCGATCTAATAGATTTAAAAGCCTATAGCTCTTAACCTTTTACCAAAAAAAAGATTTGAAAGCCTATAGCAAAATTATCAAAAGTGTGGCTATTCTAGAAATATTATTTACATAAATATAATTATGTGTCAAATATTTTTTTATGCATGAAAAGAAAACGAAAATATTCTAATTTTATTGTTCTTTCATCCAAATGTGGTTTTGGATTTTCAATGTAGATTTTGAAAGTTTATTTTTCACTTTTATCAAAATCGTTTTTTATTGTTATTTTATCAAAATCATTTAAGTTTATTAAACATACAGATAAATTTATGTATTAGTCTGAAGATTTTTTTATAATTTATTCTTTAAGATATGTTATGGTATCAAATTTAAATCTTAATGTCTTAAAAATAACAGTTACGAAATTTAAAATCTCATGACGAGTATATCCAGTATACGTAGATATTATGATTCAAATGGTACAAGGTGCTCTACAGATTCATTCATTTCGATCAAATTCGAAGACAACGTAGCAACTTCATGGGAAAAAGAAAAAGAAAATTTTCAGCTTGAAAACTGCAAGGGTTCATGGGATCATCAATATCATCAACATGTCATGCACCATACGAAGAAGAAGAAGGAGATTAGTTGTCAGCCCACACCACGTCCTCTACTGACGTGGAGGAAACGTATTAGCCGGCTCGTACACGTCATCGGTTTCAGGAAACGTCTAGCGCCAAGGTTAAAGGTGATGATTATAGCTTGAGTAGAAGTTGGTTAAGGCCTTCGCTCCCCACCAACAAGAAAACCCAAAATTGATTTTCTAAACTTGCAACAATCTTTTTGTATAAAGATTTTGTTACAACAATTCTTCCTTTTTTTTCCTTACAATATTGTTTTGGCTTTTTCCTATTTGCGATCTAAGATGAATCAATCATTCATTTATGATGATTCTGTTTACTTTCAATATAACGATATGGTCGAACATTATGATGATTGTGTTTACTTTCAATATAACGATATGATTCGACTACAGAGGTAACAGAGGTAGACGAAGGTACCTCATGGTGTACAGTCTCACCAGCGAGGTTCAACATTTTGGATAATATTGGGGATACCTTCGATCAGCCCTCTGATGCAGAAGTTGCAGAAGTAGAGGAGGGTAAGATTGCAGAGAATTCAGAGGTGTTGTCAAGCAAGACGAATGCTGGAAAAGATGATGGTTCTAATCAAGTTAGCCTAGTGAAAGGTGGCGACGACAAACGTCCCCCCGTGCCAAAAGGAAAAAAGAATTCTTCCAAGTTTATTTCTGAACCTAATGCTCAAGCCACAAAGGGAACAGCTCCCGAGTGCCTTGGGGAGAAGGAGTGCGAGAAAAAAACAATAATCTATGTCGAATTTCTTTGTATGGAATATTCGGGGTCTGAACAAAACTACAAAACATTCAGTTATCAGGGATTGGGTTCGGAATATGTCTTTTCAGTTTGGTGCTTTGTTAGAGACAAGGGTCAATGAAACAAAATCTCAGAAATTTGCGTCTTCGATTTTTGGTGACTGGTATCGCTTCTTCTCACCCGTCTTTATGGGTTAATTGGATCAAGACATACCTGATCCGTCAAGGCTCGTTCTGGTCGGTTAGTTCTACCACAAGCATGGGATCCTGGATGTGGAAGAAAGTGCTGAAAATGAGAGACAAAGCTCGAGGGTTTTTCAGGGTCACTGTGAGTAATGGGTTGAAAACATCATTCTGGTATGATGTTTGGTCACCAATGGGTCAGCTTATTGATATAAGTGGGACACAAGGCTTCATTGATCTTGGTATTCCAATGCACTCTACGGTGGCGATTAGTCGTCGACGAAGGTGTCATCGTGTAGATTACCTCAATGACATTGAAAATCTGCTTGATACACATAGGATTAGTCAGAACAGCGCTGCTGAGGACACGCCCCTTTGGAAATGGAAGGATGATACTTTCAAACGGGTTTTCAATACTAAGCGCACTTGGATTTTGATTCGGGATCCTGGTTCTGACGTCTTATGGTATAAAAGCGTGTGTTTCTCTCACTCCACACCAAAATACTCCTTTCTGACTTGGCTGGCAAGTCACGATCGCTTCTCCACCACTGATCACATGGAGATGTGCAACACGGGAGTTAACACCTCATGTGTTCTCTGTCAAGCTCCTACCGAATCAAGGGACCATCTTTTCTTCTCATGCAGCTACTCAAAGGAAGTATGGACTGAGCTATCTAAAGGCATCTTCCACTCTCACTCCTCAACAGATTGGCATTCCATCATCGCCATCACTTCATCTGCAATCCTCGATCGTGTCCACCTCTTCCTTACTAGGTATGTTTTCCAGACAACCATACATAGCATCTGGAGAGAGAGAAACGGTCGATGACATGGAGACCAACCTCAACCATCTGCAGCTCTTATCAAATTCATTGACAAGCAAGTGTGAAACCGCCTCTCGCTGATCCGGTCCATGGGGGATATACGTTTCAAACAAGCTCTCCAGCTCTGGTTCGCGACAAGGGAATGAAATTCTTGTAATCTTATTTAAAGCTTTCTAAACAAAGATGCACCAGTTATAAAACCGTTTTTTTAGTTGAATAAATTTTACATTTAATTCAAAAAAAATATTCGACTACGTTGGTTAATATATCTTATTAGATATATAGCCATATTAATTTTGTTAAATATATGGTCAATTTATCAATATATATCATCATAAATAGTTAAATCTATTATGAAAAAAACAATGGAGAGATGATTAAATACAAATATTTGTTGATTAATTACAAAATATTTTGTAGCCCTCATACACCTCAACTCCATCCTCTTGGTATCATTTATGCCCATCATATTCTTGGAGATAATACACCAATATTTGGTTCGCTTTAAAGACCATGTCCAACATAGCGTTAAGCTCTTGAAAACATAGATGGTTATCACCATGGACCGTCCTATCATAATCCGTCCGAACTCCCATCACTTTGGGGAAGATTCTCTACTAACAACTCTCTTCCATGTTGAGAACCATCCTAAATTATGGTAAATATCTCCATAAAGAATTCAGATGAACTCTTTAGAGAACTCATGGTGAGAGCAATCCCATATGTACCTTTGCAGTCTCTCCAAAGCCTCACAGAGTGGTAGTTTTGTTTGAAGCTTGTGATATAGTTCTTCAAATGAGAACCATTCTTAAAGAAGAGGTAACTTCTTCGACATCCTTGCACTATTTGTTGGAGTTATTATGCGGGTCTAGGCTAGAATTCGATTCCTCTCAAGCATGGAATTAACTAACTATTGTCATTTGGGCAGTCAAAATGGTGTTATTTTTAGACTTATTTAAAAATCCAGTGAGTGATGTAGATTTGCTGAATGTGTTTTCTTATCAGATATACGCAAGTCATACATACGATATATATACATCACATATTAACGGTGTAACCTGTTGTAAAAAAAAAAAAATTATAATAACGGTGTAACCGTAAACCCTAAAGACATATACAGATGCAAGACCAATACGATACAATATAGCCCAATAATTAATGAGCACACTCAATTTGAGAGCGAATCAGGTTGGATGGTAAATTCTTGGATTACTCCCAAGTCCCAAGTTATTTAAAAGAAAACATTCTTCAAAATTACTAATTATATACTCTCCGTTTTATAAAGAGTGTCGTTTTAAGGTTTTATTTTTGTTTCACAAAGAGTGTCGTTTTATATTTTCAATGCAGAATTTTAAACAATATTCCAGTTTTGACCCTATTGATTTAATGTATTAATTAGAGAAAAAGGGTTATTTAATGCATTAATAAAAGGCAAAGTAGTATTTTTAATAGTTTTCTTAATAAGTGTGAAAAATATCAGAATGACACTCTTTGTGAAACGGAGGGAGTACTATTCGTCTACGTGAAAGTAAGTAATAATATATTATGCTTAATTAATGCATATTATATATAGTTTGTTTGCTAATATATATGAGATATCCAATGAATTTTTAAAATTTTAATAGAGATTGACAGAGAAAATTAGACTCGATTATAAAAAGATAGATTACAACGACTAAGATTATCAATCTTTCTACTTTTGTTATAAGAAGTTTGTTAGTTTTTTTAGACGGAATATGTAAAAATGGCCTTGGAATATAAATGGGTCTCATGTGAACTGTCAGATAGTGTAGGACCGCGAAAATCCGATTGAAATCACGAATAGAAAATAGCAATTTTATAAACGATATGTTGAGGTAAGAGATTAAAACGAAAGTAAGAAAACCGATTGAAAACAGACGAAGACACGGAGTCGAGATATGATCTCTTTCCTTAACTCAATAAATCGCCCGTAATGTGTGACAGTTTGTTGCGATTTTTGAATCCTAGGATACAACCGTGATGAGACTATTACACAAAACCCGTAATAGAATCTGCGAACTGAAATTATACTACGTTATAGCTCTCGAGATACTTACGATATTAAGACGAGAGGGATTTGCTGGAAAGAATTATTTGTTGTGTGTTTAGTGTATTCGAGAATTCGATTATTTAGAATAAGAGAAGAGGGCGTCTATTTATACTGGAAGGTTCAGCTTGATCCGCAAGGAATAAGCTTTGGCAAAAAGGAATATTCACGAGATATTCTCCTTTTTCCGCAAGTAAAAGGATTCGGAAATCTTCCGTTATTATCTGGACGCAATCTTTTATTTCCTAAGATTTATCTTTTCAATATGCAAAAAAAAATTTGCAGGAACTAAGAAGCCCACGACCCACGCCCAGCTATATAGAGCCCAAGAGCCTAAGAGCCCTAAGAGCCAACTAAAAAATGCAACGAGCAACGAGCAACGAGCACGAGCTCGAGCCCGGCACCGGCACCGGCGACGGCGACGGCGGCGGCGCACGTAGGTATTTTTGCATAATGCCCTTTTACTTCCACAATGCTGTTGACCCTTATTGTGAGAAGGCCATATATATACAAGAGATTTTTCTCTTTGGTGAGCAATGTGGGACAAATACACTTCCACTAAACTTCCACTTTTAGTTATAGCCAATAGGAACTTCCACGCAGAGAGAACCATACCACTTCAAAGGATGCAGAAGTGGAAATCAAAGGAAAGGAAGATACGGTGCGAAGTCCTAACGAGAAATCAAAGGCTCAAAGCGAGAAACGTCCAGTGCAGATAGAAGAGATAGTGGCCAAAACCCTAGCAACACCAAAGTAATCATAGCTATGGGAACTGCAGGTGGTGTTATAGTTTTTTCTTCAAGTAAACATAATGACACTGTTTCATCGGAGAATTGGCAGGTGGTAAAATCCTCAGCAAAACAGATAAGACAAAAATCTAAGTGATGGTGAGATAGCGGAGGATATGGGGTATGGATCACGTTCGGATTCGCGGTTTCTTTCTCTGCAAAATAACGAGGAAGATGAGGTACAGGTTGAAACAGAGGGGGTTGAGGACAACAATATGGAAACTGAGTGATAACTAAGAGTTTTCAAGGCTCTTTGTAGAGGCTATCAATCCCCTGTCTTGTAGTACAAGGGATTTATCAATCCATATGTGGTGTTAGACACTAAACTATGTGATCAGGTTCTTAATTCAAGCAAACAAGAGTGGTTTTGATTAACTAATGACAACTACAAACTTAAAAACAAGATAAATGACTAAAGAAGTGATCAAACAAAGAACTAAACAAATGACAAGTGATGAGAATGTATGTATGATGATGAGAAAAGTCTTAGACATGATAGTGGATTAGGGTGCCTTCAGTGATAAACTAGTGAGCTAATGAACCATATGATCAAGCAAACCATTCAACTTAAACATCATTGATTAAGCTAATCCTCTCATGAAGGTATCAACTTTTATGCTAAAACAGCTTCTAACCTAATCATCATTAGTGAAACATGAATCAGCAAGCATTAATAACCAGTTTAATCTGTCATTTAAGCATATAAACAATCATTCCCATAATGAATAACACTTAAACCTCTAACAACCTTGGTTCAGGCATTTCATCAAACACTTTTGGTGCATGAAATACCCAGAATCTAGACCACATATGATGTGTATGGATCTAGCATTAAGAACAGGTTGTAGAGAATGGAATATGCATGATCTAAGCTCACTAATCTACCACTTAAGCACCCTAATCTACATATCTAAGACCTTAATATGGAGATTACTCACTAATCATGATCAACACACTAGATCCTTTGCAAGATGTGTTGTTAATCATGATTAGAAGTGTATAGATGAAGAGATAGATGATAGATTTAGAAGAAAGCAGCTTTCAACACAAAGATCTCTTAAACTTTCTTGATTAAACACTCAATAATCGATATTTCTCTTTTTTGTGGAGTCTTTTCACAAAACAGGCAAGAGACAAAGGGAATAAAGCTTAGTTCTTTAGGAAAACCTAAAAACTATTTATATCTCTCTAAAAACGAACCGGGTCAGCCCGGAACAAACCGGGTCCTGACCCGGCTTTAATGGATAAAGTGGAAATCCTGCGGGTTGGTCCAGTATCTCCCAGGTCGCATGCCCAAGTCGCAGTAGATGAAGAACTTGTCTTGTGAGACTTAAATCGCATTGTCTTAGCCGCACGCCCAAGTAGGAGTGTTTTGCGAGTCTTTGTGTGGCTTAATCTTCTTCATCTTCAACTCGCAGGACCAAGGCGGTTTCTGGGGAATGTACATGTGTGTGGGTTGATCTCCATTACACACAGGTCGCAGGCTCAAGTCGGAGTAGATTGCGAGTGATCGTGCGGCTTAGTTCCAGGCGCGGCCAACTCGCATGCCTAAGTCGCACGTTTGTGGACTTAGCGTTTTTCTTGCTCGGGAGCCTCGGACCTCATCCAGTGATAGCTTACCCGCATTTCTCAACTCGCAGCATCAACTTCCAGGCATTCATCTTCAGGCCTGCGAGTTAACCAAGTCGCAAGACTATCTCGCAGCATTCAGAGCAGCTTGGACCACTTCGCATTCCGGGAGGCTTAACTTCCAGGATATTGGTTCGAATTGTGTGATTCCGGTTGCAGAGGACAGAAGACTCATATATCTTCAACTTTTGTGAAGTAAGCTTCGGTGCTTGGGCATTGGAAGGTTTCCTGGAGGGCTCATCTTCGCAGTTCATTTACACGATCATGTGTCCACTCCGGAAACGTTATCGTCTTGATCATAGCTCCGAATTGAATGATCTTGGACGTTCTGGAAAGAGGAATCAAATATCTCTGATTCTCATGAAGGCCCCGTAAACTGAATCGGCCTGGAAGTGCACCGTCCTTCGCATTCTTCGGAGCTCATCGGATCGGTCCAAAATGGCAGCGAGACAGGAGTTCCTTCCGACGAGCTTAACTCCCTGCTCACGGGTCCGAATTCCATGATTCCACTTGCTCTGGAACCGTGATCCAAAATTCTCCAACTTTGATGAAGCACCCGACAGCTGAATCGGACTGGAAGGTTCCCCGGACAGGCGATTTCGGAAACGTGTCTGCACCCGGAGATTTTGGCCGAGAGATTCATTAGCCGGTACGCGTTTTGGCCGATAAAATCCACCCGCGGTACGTGAGAATGGCCGAGAAAAACCTTTCTGGTACGCGAGAATGGCCGAGAACCTCCTTTCAAGCTTTGATCACCATTTCTCTTCCTGGATTCATCTTTTCAGCTCCAAATAGTTCCAAACACATCTTGTAAACACTCAAAACATGCAAAGACTCATTGGGACCTAATGCAACTCCTAAGTTCTAAAACAAAACCTAAGGACCTAAAATGCATGAAATAAAACATGATTTGGAATGAAATATGCGACCTAAATGATGCAAATTATGAACATATCACTGAGCAAGAGTCACAGGTGGAGGAAAAGAATACTCGAGCTCAGGAGGCAGAGGGAACAGTAGTGAAGGAGAGCAGAATTCCACTGCATCATGAATCAAAGACAACTCACAGGTTTGTCAACACGACTTCAAATTCGCCTCCTCCAAGGAGATCGAATAAAAAAACCAGAAAGAAGCCAAATATAAATAATTGATGTCTGGATTCTTTTGGAATATCAGAGGTTTCAACAAAAATAAAAAGCACAAAGTAGTTAGAAGTTGGTGTCAAGAGAATAACTTCATGTTCGGTGGCTGGATTGAGACAAGAGTGCAAGAAAATAAGGCAGAGAAGATAGTAAATGAGGTGTTTCTGGAATGGTCGTTCATGAACAACTACGATCATCACAGGTTGGGGAGAATATGGATTGTTTGGCAGGATTCAGTTTGCCTAATGCCGGTCTTTAAAGATTTCAGTAACGGTGAAACTACAGGGTACCGATAACGAGTTCTTATGCATGTTTGTCTATGGTTCGAACTTTATGGAAGAAAGAAAGGAGTTGTTGGATGATATACGAAGTCACTATAGATCTCCAATATACAAGAGAATGTGATGGTTGGTTTTAGGGGACTTTAATGAGATTCTTACTGCTGCGGATCACTCTCTTCTAGATACTGGCTTAACGAATGAAATGTGGGATTTTCAGGAGATAATTAGAGATGGAGAGCTGTGTGATATGGGTTTCCATGGGCCTCAATACACTTGGTGTAATAAGCAAACAGAGGGACTGATATGTAAGAAACTGGATCGTGCTTTGGTAAACAATCATTGGCTTGATCATTGCACTCACTTTTACTGTGTGTTCGAAGCCAGCGGATGCTCCGATCACTTGAGATGTCGAGTTTATGTTGAGGGGGAAGTTTCTAAACCAAAGAGGCCTTTCAGATTTTCAAATGTGGTAGAAAAGTTGTCTAAGTTCCAAGAAGCTTTTCTATATTACTGGGATGGAACAACTCCCTCGTTTCACTCCACTTCTGCATTGTTTCGATTTTGTAAGAAGCTGAAATGCTTGAAGCCTGTTGTCAGGAATGTTTCAAGGGAAGCGCTGCACAATATAACCCAGAGAGTTCAAATTAACTATGCAGATCTTTGTGCAAAGCAAGAGGAGAACTTGAGAGCTCCATCAAAAATAGCAAAGAATAATGAGAGGGAGGTTTTTCTTCGATGGGAAACAGCTGCAACCCTGGAGGAAATTTTTTTGTGTCAGCCATCTAAGCTTAATTGGTTAATTGTGAGGGGACAAAAACACAAAAGTGTTTCATAGAGCAGTTAAAGTACGAGAAGCGAGAAATGGTATTCGACAGCTGCGAAATAGTGAAGGTCTACTGATAAATAGCAGAGATCAGATCAAAGATGAGGCAGTGAACCATTTTGAGACGTAGATTGGCCCAATTAATCCCGATTTATGATGGTTTCTTACAGAAGTTCTTATGAGGGAGTTGGTCTCTTACAGAAGTTCTTATGAGGATCATGTCAATTTTACGAAGGAAGTTACGAACGCTTAAATTAAATCAGTTCTTTTTGTAATGGCGGCCAATAAGGCACCGGGCCCAAATGGTTATACAGTGGAGTTCTTCAAAGAGAGTTGTCAGATTATTGGTACAGATCTAGTAGTGGGAATCCAGTCATTCTTCACCAAAGGCTTTTTTGCCAAAATGTATCAATTCTACCATTCTGGCTCTGATACCGAAAAAAAAAACAAGCGATAGACATAAAGGACTATAGACCTATATCATGTTGCAATGTTGCAATGTGATATACAAGATCATTTCAAATATTTTGGCGAACCGGCTGAAACTGCTTGTCCCGAAATTTATCTCTGCGAATCAGCTCCGGTTTTGTTGCTGATCGACTTCTTATCGAAAATTTGCTATTGGCTTCCGAGCTAGCAGGATATCATAAAAGCTCGATCTCCTCACGTTGTGCTCTAAAAATCTATTTCCAAGGCGGTTGATTCGGTGTAGTGGAGTTTTTTCCTGACAATGCTAGAAACTTTCAACTTTTCCTTGGAGTTTATTCACTCGATTTGGCTTTGTAACAGCATTGTTTTCAGTTCACATACCTTTGTCTGTTAAAGTGCTAAAATAATATCAAATACCTTAGGGAAACTAAGGAGAAACTATATATAATCAGAAAATTCCCAAGTCAAAGCAACAAGGATTAAAGTATTACAAGAGTTTAAGCAGTCCATTTCCTCCTGTCTCAACATGAAGATAGTCTCCCACTCTACTTACTTTAGGTACATAAAGAGTTTACATATCTTCACCATCGTCAGTGATGAATTTTCCATTACCAGGATTAATAGCAGCAAAGAAGAAGAAAGCAACGTTTAAGAGGACAAGTGGTTCGATATCTTGAATTGGTATACCGGTCTCAATGTTGAGTTGAGCCAATGCTCCTTTTCCGGTTATAATCTCTCCTATCAATGAAAATGCTATTCCCAACTGTGCCAATCTTCCAACGAATAATTCGTTTGCCTTGGTGAACCCAAACAAAGGACCTTTACATAACCAAACAACAAACATTTATGGATTAGAGACTTCAGATCAGTCTCAATAAGATCATATTTGTATCTTAGGATAAAGATAAATTAACATGGAGTAAATTCGGACACTATACTTGATCCAAACAAATGAAGCTATTTCATTTCTATGCTATAGTTTTTCCTTCTTGATTAGAACTATGTTATGTTTCCCTTATCGTCTACAGTTATATTCTACGCATTAGTTTTTTCAGACCAATGGCATTGCAACATAGACAGAAAGGGAAATCTTGAAGAGACCTTGTTCTTTGAGACCAAGGGCAGAACGGACGTTTTTGCCGGGAGCAATGACGGCTTTCTCGAGCCCGGTTGGAGTTGGAGGATCGTCGACGAATTTTCCTCTGTCTCCAAGAGCTCCAATAGCACCCAACAGAGTGAACAATATGAAGAAGAGAAGCAATGGCTCTGCTTCATAAATCGGTATCCCTGTTTCCAAATTCAGCTGTGCTAATATACCTTTCCCTGTCACCGCCTCACCCAGCAAAGATGCCTATGCAGAAACTCGACTTTCATATCAAGTCTTCTTTCTTGGAAGAAAAGTTTGTGTGAAAGAGTGAGAAGGGACTTACAGCGAAACCGATCATAGCGACACGACCCACAAAGAGTTCGTTAGCTTTTGTGAAACCTATCCCACCCGAAGTTCCGAAGATACCATCCTCAACCTTTGGCTTCACCTTCTCAACCTAAAATGTATATAACAATCTTCACATTACCATTGAAAACAAGAGATGTAGCTTGCGGAACAAGTAAAGGATCTGTAAAAACCTTTTTGGGAGCAGCTTTGGTTTTGGGTTTGAAGAGAGCGAGAGGAACGAGTGATTGTCTTCGAGATGGTATAACAACCGGAGAGTTTCCGGAGAGGAAGAGATGGTGAACTTTGGGCTGAGCCAAAGGGTTCTTGTTCCTCAAGAATTGGTTAGCAGAGACGCCGGAAGTAAGCATCATGGTTTGAGCCATTTTGTGTGTTGTGCTGCTTTGCTGCGTCTGAGGATGAGAGAAAGGATCAGTGACGTTTTGTGTTGTGGAAGTAAAGAGATTAAGAGATATCAAGAAAATCTGTTGACGGGCTTACAGTGCGTCCACGTCGCCCAATTGTCCTTACCTTAGTCTCTCTAGAGATAATGTTTTTGTGGAGAAAAATTAATATTTATTTCTTTTTTATTATTTTTTATTTAGTAAATGTTGTGTGAATACACAATAAGTTGTCGTTGGCAAAAAATAGACCACTAGAATCTTTTTTTTTCCCCAAGATGTCGACGGTTAGAATCTTTATATTATTCCATTGTATTTCACTCTGTATTTCGTCAACATATTCTACCTTGTAATGATGGATGAACGTATAATCCTATGTTAACAAATTCGTCAATTTCTGAAATTGAAAAAAAAAAATGAATGCTATCAAAACGATATATAATATGCTAGCACTAGAATGATTGAGTAGAAAGAATTAACTTTTACTATGTGCAGATAGTACATTGACTCAACAAATTTTATACGGGAATAAGTATAAATTAGAACCCTTTTTAAAAAATCAAAATTTGCATCACATATTGGTAAAGTAAAAAAATGCTCATACAGAATCTCGAAATACTTCGAGAAAACCAAATTGAAATGGGGAGATTAATCACGCCACGTACCACAACACTTCAAAAGGAAAAACAAGTGGTGTGAATGGGCTTTAATTACTTTGTCTCCATGTATGATGTGTCTGAAGTTTAGTTTGTGTCTGAAGTTAGTTTGAAGTTTGAACAAGAACATCTCACGTCATGACATCTCGCGTCATAATAAGATAAGCGGGATTAGGCTTTATTTCTTCTATGGGCCTTGGTTTACTTTTTTTTTTGGGTCTAAGCCTTGGTTTACTTTTTAGCTACTGACAACATTTTCATTATTCAAAGACAATGCTGGGCCGCATTTTTAAGTTGAGACCGGAAGGATGGGGCAATGTCAGAGCCGTGTTTACCATGTAGTGAAAAAGGTTTTCGCCTCAAACCCCCAAAATATGTTAATTTTTCAGGGCCCTCATTTTCTTAAGAGGTGGTTAAGTGGTTTATGGTTGGCATGAGGTCCTTTTTACATAAGATGTTTTCTTATTTTTGTTTATAAGAGAGAGAAAAAGGAATAGATATAGGAAATAGATTAAGATTACCTTCTCCCAATAGTTTTAGGAAATTGATTAAGATTTGTTTAGATTATCGGCTTTATAACATCTTAAAATAAGACCAAAACCCTAAAGCCCAAGAAAAAAAAAATTCATAGATTGCTTATCAGATATTGCTGACGATTCCAGTTTCAGTTGCCTTGGCTGAAAGAGGTTTTTCAAAGTTGAAGTTGATAAAGTCTTAGTTACGATCAACTATGTCACAAGAAAGATTGAATGGCCTATCTATCATATCTATAAAAAGAAAACTAGTTAAGGACCTCGATTATGAGAGTTTGGTGAAAAAGTTTATTGAAAAAGAAGGAAGAAAGATTATGTCTTAATTAGTTTTTTTAGATTAAAATTTTATTTTTGAATATTTTATATGATTTTAAAATTATATTATATTTTTTTGTTAGAAAACCTTTTTTTTAAATAAAAAAGGCCCTATTTTTTTAGTTTGCCTTAAGTCCCTATAAACCTTCGCACGGCACTGGGCAATGTCATAATATCTCCACTGTAAGTTGAGATCGAAATGTCTCCAATTTTTGTTGATTATGGGCTGAAGTGTTATCCTGGAACAGATTGTAGACGAGGTTGGATCATGCAGAAACAGCAATGGAGCACATGCACAAGAGTGGTAGCAAAAAAAGTTGCATGAAGATATTAATGATAAGGGCATAAGCCGTTGACGTGGAGTACGCGCCACAAGAAGAAATATTCAAATTGAAATGGAATTTAAAAAAAAATACAAAGATACTCTATAAAGTAAAAAAAAATTTTGATTAAAATATGAGAGAACATGGAGAGGAAAGAAATCAGAAAGTGAAAAAGACTGTATAGATCATCAAGAACTTAAAGGAAAAAAGCCTATATGTTCTTAGATCAATACTCTTTCGATGAGATCCCATCACTCGATGAACCGATGAACCTAAGAAGCAGATTAATCGAGTTTACTAAAGTTTAACAGATTTTACCAAAAAACTCTGAAAAATTCGGTTCAATTCAAAAACAAGAGAAAAACTTAATTAACCAAACTCGAAATGAATCAAATCAGATTTTTGTTTGGTTTTATTCAGCATATTTTTTCAAAACTATCCAAAAATTGACTAACCAAAGTGAACCCAACCTGAATAACCAAACCCGCAAGCCTAAAGCTAACCATGCAAGCTAAATACAATTCACAAAAATATGTAATCAAACTGAACTATGTAATATCTTATTATCAATGAAAGTTTGTGGACAGTAAAAAAAATATAAATTTTGTCAAGTTTCTCCATTACTGGTTTATCCTTCTCAAATTAATTTTTACAATATCATAATATACGATTGAACTAATTTTTGCCGGCTAGGTATTATGGATTGTAGGACTTCTAAGTGGTAGTTTGCGAATGTAGTGGTGGACTCTCCCGTTGGGTTGCTGATTGCAAGGAGAAGTTATAGGTGTTGTTAGATCGTGAATATTTAAGGGCTTCTCTTGGATCTTGGTTGCTCACAGCAATAACAATTTCACATTGCACATATTCTCCTCTGATTTTATAATTTCTAGTTTTCACTATTGTGTTTTTAGTAGTTTTTATTTTTTTGTCTGCTACTTATTCTCATTTGTTGTAACAATGCAAGAAGAAAACAGTAAACATATTCTCCTCTGATCATGCCACTGTCGTGATCATAGACAACTATCTCTCTCAACCCTGACCAATATGTTTCCACTCTGGCTCTGGAAAAGAAGAGATGCATTATGTTTAAGACTCGTCAGCATTCACAAATCGCCCATAGTTATGTTTCCACTCCTATGTTTGTTTTGCTCTCCCAAACTAGATCTGACACCGGATGAACACTTTTGTGTCACCAAGCATCTGGATCAGATTGTAGTTCATGACGCTACTCTCATGCAGTAAAAACGAATTCAGAAGAAAAAGTTCTAAGATTCGGCTCAAAAGCTCATGGAATCCTCATCGAACATATAAATCCCCATCGAAAATCCCTTAATCCCAACAATAAAATTACTCAGACATGATGAACAAAATCAAAAACATAGTATTAAAAAGTATAATAGAAACCGAAATTGAAAAGAAAGAACAAAGGTTCAAGAGATAGATCTCTCTCTCCCTATAACCTAAAAACAAAGCTTAAAGTAAAATTTCTGTAAAGTATTTCATCTCTCTTCTTCTCTCCTTAAAAACGACCTAAATGACATGTATTTATAGTCTCCAATACTCTCTGGTGTCTAGTGTTCCGGAATTGAGGCTGGGAAAGTGATACGGGCTTCAGAAATGGGCCTTCAAAGTCGGAGTTGGCTGGCCGCGGTCGGGATGAGTGCGACCACGGGAAATGGGTGGCTGGCCGTGGTTGCGGTGCTTCTGACCGCGGGGATTGGTCTGTTGGCCGCGGGTGGAAATGCTTGCCGGCTGGTTTACGGGACATCTTGCTCTTCGCGTATCTTTTGATTGAACCGTTGGATTGCCAAGCTGTAAAGTGTGCTGGAAAGCTGATACTTCCATCTTTAAGATCTCCAAATTTGAGCTGGATCAGACGGTGAGAAGGCCTTCAATCAGGGGTGAACTTCTGACGGTTTGACTCTGAGCTGAAATCTGGTTTTCTATCCATTTTGTCAAGTTTTTCCCTAAGTTACCTGAAAAGAGTATTGGAACTACAAATACTAGAAAAACGTAATAAAAACACTTAAAAGCAATTAAAAACATAGAAAAAGTATTTCAAAATGATCCATAAAAGTGGTCAAAATATGGTGTTATCAATACGTCCGTGACTCCAGTTCGAAACGTTTAAACTAAGATCTTATCAAATTTACTCTGAGAAAACTTCTCTGAAGCCCAGCGCTTTATTTCTTATAGATTCACACCGTTTTATTTCAAGCTTTAGTTCAATATTTTCATTCCTTCTTAATCGATTTTCATTTAAGCAATTAGGTTAGCTGTTTTTCTCGTTTTTACCCGTTTTCGTTAAGTTTAGTTATTAGGTCATTTTAATTCCCGTATCTTCTTTTTAAGATTCGTTTTTACATTTTAAACACAATACCAAAACTGTCACAAAACTTTCCTGGTTCTAGACTTCCTTACTTTATATTTCTTTCAAAGTCTTTTGCAGGAAAGATCCTCCTTCCTTGTGGATTCGATCCCTAAGTACTACAATCGATCAACTGTGCACTTGCGGCTATTGATTATTTAGGGTAAAACTTGACAACCCTCAACACGACCACACCGCATCAAGTTTTTGGCGCCGTTGCCGGGGAACGCACGCGTTTTCTTATCCACAAAACCCCAAGAAAGGTTGGTAAATCGACTCTAGAACCCCTTTTCTGCATATTTCCATTTTTCGGTTTTTTTGTTTCCATTTCAGAAGATATGGATCCTATAAATCGAAATACACACTATGAGGAAGGTTTCTATAACACTCCTCAAGCCACTAGACGCAGAGAAGAACACCAAGCCCGAAATCTTAGCCACATGGATCGATACAGCCAGCCAAAACCACCCTTACCACCGGCGCAGAGAGACTGTTCGACGCCGGGAAGATCCTTATGGTCCTCCTCCAACCTACTTCGAGCCACACGCCTATAATCCTCCACTGCAGAACCCTAGTCAGCAAGAGGACAACTTGAGGATCAGCAGACGTTTGGGACGCCTCGAAGGAATGATAAACCAGTTCCTTGATCAGCAGATTCTCGCCGAAAATATCCTGCTCAAGCAAATTGATTCAATCTCTGAAGAGTTCAACAAAAAATTCGATGATATGGCCAATCATGTTCGAGTTCTGGAAGAGCGAACCCGCAAGGACGCACAAACACTAGCTGGGATGATCCACCAAGTCGCAACAGAGCAGACAAGATAAGGGTATGACATTATACAGAACTCAAGTGATATTGTCGAATCGAAGCAGGAGATTAAAGAAGTCAGGGAATCCGCCTCCTGGTATAGAGAGAAGACGGACGAAGAGTTGCAAGA